CGCTTTTATTTATTCATGGATGGTCTGATCAAAAATGTTGTACAAAAATCGTATCAGAAGTGTCGTATATCTACATCATCTTTTGGAGGTGGTTTTCTCGGTCTCGTTAGTTATTTTTGCATCTAGATCATCTATTGGAGATGCTCTAATGACCACACCAAACTTGACACCACACCCGACCGGAAGCCGATGATTTGTGGGACCAAAACCACATAGACTTCTCGGTGTCAACCATGTCATATCACACCAGGGCGGGGGTAGAAGCCCGAGGCACCATCTCCTACCTCGAAATGTGACACAAGACCAGAACATTAAGGGAAACAAGAGTGCATTTTCTATAGATCTGGGTTCCCTGACGAAGACGAGAGAAACCGACATAAAAGAGTGGAAGGAGAAGCTTTCTGCAGTATAGGTCTCGGCTAGGGCTGGACCAAAACTCGTAGCTTAAAGAATGCTCGACAGTTTGTCTCGTTAAGCTTGTAGCTCGCTTCATAATTAACAGAGCCAACCACTAATTTCATCTCAGTAAGTTTAACGATCTTAAGGAATAAGATAAACATTTTTGTAGCATCTAAATCGATCTATCCAATCAAATCGATCCAACCTAGTTCACAGAAGATAGGAAATTAGTGCACCTCCTCATGTAGTCACCATCTCTTGGTAAAAATCATGTACATTCTTACCCTGTAGACCGTAGCACATTGTAGTATGTTCGCGAGCATTCACGATCTTAACGAGTTTCAAATGAACAAAGCCGAGCAGGGTTTCCTACTTGTTAAGCTTAACAAGTTTAACGAGTACGTGCTTAACGAGCTGAGCAGCTCATTAATCCACCCCTACTCTTGGCTACAACAACGGTAGAAACACAACAATTTTATTCTACACAGATCATGCAGATTTTTACGAGATCTTTAGATGGATTTGGTGCGTCGTGTGACACGCGTGGAATGCGGCTTCTTCAGCACCTTGAGTGAATCCAGCTCCGTGAGGTCAACAGCGGCAGTGCCTGTCGGCGGTGCCCACTCGAACTCGTGCCAACTGCCAAGAAGCACTTCATGTTCACCATCGTCATGCCCACGCCCAGGCAGAACCTATGCCCCGCGCCAGATGGCATCATCCTGATCTGCTTGGGTCCTGGCAAAGGGCCGACGCCCTCCCCCTCTTTGCCGGACAGGAACCGCTCCGGTCAGAACTCGTTGGGATCCAACCGGT